AACCTGAACACCATAATGGTGAGGAAAAAAAGATTATTTTCTTATTATGTTAATAACCAAATATATTAGGGGACCCAAAGATACTCCTTTTGCTTGCTCATTGAAAGCCCAGTTTCTCAAGGACATTTCTGACCTTGACCAAAAATTTACCGCACCCAGACCATCTTCTCTTGGTGAAATTTGTACCGTAACCCCACCATTGTTCAACTTAGGTAGGACTGGGTGGAGAATAGATTCTTTTGTATAAATTGCTAAAGGTGGAATGATCTGGGAGAGTGCTGACATGATCAAAGTCACATCCCTAGCCTCTCATTAGAAAAAGCCCACCTAAATTACATATATCTCCTTTTGAAATGCTTTTTGGACACACTCCTAATCCAAGCAAAATCTTTTTCCCCAGTATTATTACTTGGGGGAGATACGTCTGATGCTTCCTAAATACAGGAATTACAAATCAAGATGCAGGAACTCCTGCTCAAGATATAACCCAAGCCACCGCTTGGACAACTGTGAGATTAATAGAGATTAATTCTTTAGCAAAGGCAGTCTGCAGAACCCCTTGGCCTTCATGACTCCAGGCCTGGTCCTCTATCCACTATAACATCTTGTTGCCTATAAAAAAGAGATGAATCAAAACCGATTTTTTTTTGTAGATAGCTATGACATTTAAAGCTGTTTTAATGCTAACATGTGTTTCCTATAGAACACAGTGATTTCATAAATTAATTGATTTAAAAGTATGTGCTGGTTATACATTTTTATATAAAAAAATAAATTTTATATAGTGAATTCTGCCAAAAAAAAAGAGAGATGAGAGGACACTCCCAACTCATCCCTTCATGGAGTGAGAGACTTTATCAATGTATTGATCAATTGTGCTAATTTTTTCCTTTTCCTTTTCTTTTATCCCTAAAAAATATTATTTGTTGAATTACATGGTTTTCTGGGAGGAAAGTGAGAGAGATAACTGAGAAAACTATAAGGACAGAAAAAAACAAAAGACATTAATAAAAAAAAAAAAGAAAGCAAAACTTATATGCTCCAAATGCCTTAGCATCTAAATCCTTAAAGAAAAAAATCAACTAAATTAAGGAACAGAAAGATTTTTTTAAAGTTGAGAAATTGAGTAAATTTCTGGAAAAATTAGAGCAAAAAGACTCATGGCATCTTCTAAATAGGACTGCTGAAGTATATGTATACACACATACACACACACACATACACATACATACTCTATTTCTCCACATTATTTATTTATTTATTCATTTATTTGTTCATTTATTTATTTATTTTTCAACATAGAACTTTTAAAAGAACTGCACATTTATCAGGGCATAGTAAGATTGAAAATAAATACAAAAGGGTAGAAATACTACACTAAACACATCCTTTACAGACCTTAGCACAGTATAATAATAATCAGTCAAGTAGCACAAATAAACAGACCCAACTTAAGACTTGGCAATGAAATTGAAAACAATGATTGGGCCACAGAACAAATCATAGAAACAATTATTATGTGAAAGAAAATCATAATGATGAAATGATATAACACAATTTCTGATATGCAAATAAAGCATTCCTCAGGCGAAAATATATTACTAAAAATATACACGAACATAATGGAAAAGTGATGAACTGAATATACATTTAAACATTAGAAACCCAATAAATAAAACTAAAATAGATACAAAAGAAGAGATATTGAAAATTAGAATAAAAAGAGATAAATTATAATCCAAAGATTATAGAATTTGTAATCAAAACCAGAAGCTCATTATTTGAAAAAAGTAACAAATTGATAAGATCAACATCTTACATCATTTATCAAGATCAGATCAAAAAAGATAACATGACATACATATACAGGGAGACATCATAAGAAAACTAAAAGAATATAGAACACATTACATATCAAACTTATGGATAGAAGAACAAATTATGAATAAACAAGAGATAGAGAACATTGTGTGATGTAAAATTGGTAATTTTATTGCATTAAATTAAAAAGGGTTTGTACAAATAAAACTGATGTAGCCAAAGTTAGAAGGAAAGCAGAAAATTGGGGAGGGGGCAATTTTTATAGACAGTTTCTCAGATAAAAGTCTCATATCTCAAATATAGAGAACTTTATCAAATTTATAAAACTATAAGCTGTTCCTCAATTGATAAATGATTAAAGGATATGAACAGGTAGTTTGGGGATGAAGAAATCAAAGTTATACGTCATATGAAAAAGTGCTCTAAATCATTATTTATCTGAGAAATTTAACTTAAAACAACTTTGAGATATCTTACACCTATCAGATTGGCTAAAATGGTAGAAGGGGAAAATGACAAATGTTGGAGGGGATGTAGAAAAACTTGGTTGGTCTGTTGTCAGAACCATGAACTGATCCAACCATTTTGGAGAGCAATCTGGAATTATGCTCAAAGAGCTATAAAATTGTGTATACTCTTTGACCCAGCAATACCACTATCAGGTCTGTTTCCCAAGGTGATCAGAGAAAAAAGAAAAGAACCTCCATGTTCTAAAGTATTTGTAGCAACTCTCTTTGTTGTGGCAAAGAACTAGAAGTTGCGAGGATATCATCAACTGGGGAATGGCTAACCAAGTTGTGGTACATGGTTGTAATGGAATACTATTGTGCTGCAAGAAATGATGACTTGGTTGGTTTTAGAAAAACATAGCAAGTCTTACATGAAATAATGAAAAGTGAAATAAGCAGAACCAGAGAATGTTCTGTACAATAACAGCAATATTGTTCAAAGAATAGTGTGAATGACTAAGTTATTTCAAGTATTATAACTACTCAAATCAACTACAAAGGACCTATGAAGGAAGATGCTATCCACATCCAGAGAAAGAACCAATAAATAGGGGTGTGTGTGTGTGTGTGTGTGTGTGTGTGTGTGTGTGTGTGTGTGTCTGTGTCTGTGTGTGTGTATGTGTGTGTAAGAAATGGCTTTCTCCTGAATGGAGGGAGGGGAGGAAGGGAGGAAGAAGGAAGGAAGGGAGAAAGGACAGTTTGAAACTTAAAATGTAACAATAAAATACATTTTTTTAAAAATTCTGTTACCTTGAAGATTTCTAAAGGGAAAAATCAGCCAGCCAGAAAAACTGCTAAAAAGCTGCAGCCAAAGAGTTTATTATGCTGGAAAAGATTAATTAAATTTCATACTTGAAGTAGTTGTCCCAGTAAGCAGGACTAATTCCCACTTTAGGCTTTCAGCAAAAAATTAGATTTTTGAAAAGAGAAAAAAAACCTACAAGATACTTCTCTCTAATTTCAGCCTTGGTCATGTTGGAATTACAGAGATAAAGTCAAATAATCACAGAAAGGCAAACTTTTTTGGTTTGTAGAACTGCTAAAAACATCTTAGTAGATTTTAGAGGTTTGGAAATTAAGGAGAATTGGAGATGAATCACTAAAGAGTTTGAAGATTAATCACTTTAAGATCGAAGGGGAGAACTCCTGGACCTTTGGGTAATATCAGGAACTCACTCCTTCTGAAACAGTGAATTTTGGGGTATCACTCTGTAGAATTAAATTCTGTAAAAGTGTCAGGGGTAAATAACACTTAGATCATTTTTTCCTAAGGTCAGATAAGAGCTATTGTTTTAGTGAATGAAGGCAGGCAGCTAGCAATCCCAAAGTGAAGGGGAAAAAATAAGTATGCAGTTTGCATTTTATATTAACTCTTCTTTCACCATGAAAAGAGTAAAGGTTGTTTAAATCAAGGAACAATTTAAAAATTGGTAAAATTTAATAAAAGAATGGAAAAGGTGCTCTAAACTGAAAAGGGAGGGATACCCTGAACTCCTCCATCCCAACTTAGGTGACCCCTAAACAAGATCAGGGAGTCTCTGAGCCTCCACCTCCACCTCAGCTCAGACTCCCCTCTGACTCCCATCCCAATTCAGAGATTCCCCTCTAACTCCTACTCTACTTCAAAAACCCACTGTGACTCTCTCAGCTCGAAGACCCCCTGTGACTTTCCCAGCTCATAGACCCCCCACACACTCTGTTAATCCCTCTCATCTTAAATCAGTTTCCCAAATAAAGGTATTGGACAAAAAAAATGCTGGAAAAATGCAGGAAAACTTGAGTTACATTCTGGTCTTGGAAATTTATTAGCTATGTGAATTTAAGCAAGTGATCTTATCTGTTTGACTGTTTCCTAATCTGTAAAGAGGAAAATAATAATGGTACCCCCCCCACCAGGGTTGTTGTGAGGATCAAAATGATACAATGATTGTGAAGTACTTAATACACTGACTAGCATATGGTAAGCACCATATAAATGTTGACTATTATTATTTCTTTAATTGAATGTAATTGCATATCTCATTTTAATTGTGATTAATACAAAACACCAAAGGTAATAAGATCAATAATTTTTCATGTAAGATACTTTGGAAACGCATTCAGATGAATTGATACCGTGTGACTGATAATAAGTTTTGTTTAATGTTTTAAATACATGATATTGTGTTATTATTATGCTTCTAATTCTCTTACATTGTGAAATTTGGAAAATCATAGAAATGCTATTATAAAAACAACTTTTTTTTTAATCTGGATGCTGTTAGGTTATGAATTGAGTTTTTAAAAGAATAATTAAAAATAGATATTTAAAAACAAATATTTAATGTGGTATATTTTGTTTTTTAAAAGATAATATAGTTTACTATAATAAAGTTTTCCTTTAAAAATGTTTGGCTATCACTTATAAAATTATGAAAATATATAGGTGGTTTAAAGATGTAACTTCAACATACTGATACGAGTCAACTATCAGGTATCTGTTGCATGTCTGAAATCTCAGAATACAGTTAGCTTTAATTTATAAGTAAGGGATAAAGGAAATATAACTATTAGGGCAATGTGGGAAAATTAATAGTATTCAAGCACTAAGCTGTGGTTAATGAAATTTTGCTATTTGAAGTAAAAATTCTTGGTACTATAATTTACCATTGTTTCAAATTTTGATTACAGAGATGATTGTCTTAATTGTCATGAATCCAATAATAGAAAATGGCACGTGCTGTAGTCTGAGAACTACAGGTGGAAGTCTGTACCTAAAAGTTGAGGGGATGGCTTTGCAGTGGCCTAAGGTAGGAGCCTCTTGACTCAGTCTCCCCATTGTGCTACTTCCTTCCTGAACAGGAAATTTCCACCTGGTTTATCCTGAACCTTGTTTTTGATACCCTGTGACTACATGACAGGCTGTCAGATATGACTCATGCCTAGAATCAAACAAAGGTAAAGGAGTTTTTCCTCTGTTATAGGATATGTGTCCCTGAGGGGATGAGTCTTGACACTGTTATAACTGTCCCTCCTTTTTCATTTCATAGCAAATTTATATAATAAGGGCAGGTGAGCAGTAGAAGTTTTGTGAGTACAGTGCTAAATCTGTTAATTAACAGAATGATACCAGAACATCTCTGAGTTACTATAATAGGATTCAAGTATAAAAAAATCTCACAATTTTGATCTGTATTTGTGGTCAAATTATAATATAGGGACAATATCTTCCTAAAGGGGGAATCAAACAAATTAGACAAAGATATAATATAAAAGTTTTCTAATAAAATGAAAAAGTAAAATTTGAGGAAGCAACAGGATTAGACTTGTTTCCTCTAAGAATTATACACATATGATTGTCTTCTAAATGTATCTAGCATGGAAATTCAGATTTTGAGTATGTTTTAGTAATAAGTTCTCAAAATTGGATTAATGATTTTACATATAAAATTGCATTGATAATTGTAAAGAAAGTAAAATTATTTTCCATTTTTTAAAGTACCTGCATGATAATTTTAAAGAGCAGAAGAGTTCATTTTATAAGATAGACCTTCAGGAATTTTTTAATACTCTTATATAAGGTACAGTGTTTAGGTAAAGATGAAAAAAACAGCAAATGGTATATAAAAACTGAAATTCTCTAAAGTCTTAAGTGAATTATGGGTTCCTGATTTGATGTTCTTCTTATAGCTCTGCTGTTAATAGGATTAGCTCCTTAAGGCTTGAACTGGTTTTCATCACATGAATCAAATTTAAGAGATTGTACTAAACTGCATTAAGTCTTGTTATCAGCAGATTTTAGCAGAATTATCTTGGAATCTCCACAAGTGGTTTGGAACCAGAGAAGCAGAGTACTCTTCAGAGCTGTCCTGAGAATAAGGCCTATTCCAGAATGTTCAAGAGAAGATATACAAGCACCAGAGACATGAAACATGACACATCTGGGACTCAAAATATGCTAATTAAGTGGACATTGGGAGTGGGTTACTAGGATACAAGGAGACTTGTTGTTAGTTAATATTGATGATTGTTATTATATTGCTTTGGCCTTTTGTTTCATGGTGTTTATGTTGAAGTTAGTTCGTTGTGAGTTTGATCTATAACCTGACATGTAATTCTGATTATGAATATATGAAGAACCTTATAGATTCGGCTTATAGATAAGTGATCCATGGGGGAGTAGGCCTGTCATGAATCAAAAGGGGGAAATTGAGGGAACTGAGGGGACTGAAGCAGCAAGTGGTGGTGGGAATTTAGTGAACCACACTCACTCCATCTTATGACAACTCTGGAGCTAGTTCAGTTCCCTTTCTATTCAATTATAGGTCTAATAAAATGTTTGTCTTCTGAGAAAGGAGAATTCAATTAGGGGAATCATGAGAAAACTACTGCATTGTTTGAACTAGCCCCGCATGCCTAGCAGGTTGGATTACATCTACCTGCTGCTTAGAGACCCTTAACTAAGGACCTAGGTTATACTGTCCAGAAACCCAGTCAGATCCAATGACTGATGCAACAAATTTTCTCAGTTATACATCTCAAGCAACCCATATGGTTTATCTGTTATCAATAAGTTATTGTTTACATGTTCCTTTGATTGTTTCCACACACTTGGGGGAAGTAGGACACATCTTTTTCTGATTTCAGGGTACTGCACCTGTTTGCTCTCCCCCTCCCAACATGGAAAGTCCCTAATCTTTCCTCTAATTAGAAATCAGATGGCCTAATGTTGTAGGCTGGTTAACTGTTTCCTTTTAATTAATTGGTCTTATTTGATTGATTGTTTTTAATATATAAAAATCTGTTTCTCCCTATATTCCGGGTCCAGCCCTAAACCAAGGAAGTCTGGTCCCAATTTGTTGGGCAATTGGTATTCAATGGTTAATAAATCAATATGTTCAGAAGCTTGATCCTTTGTTTCCTCAGTCATTTCATATTTCGCCCACCACCTGGGTTGCATAATCAGGGATATGGTAGGGGAGAGGCCCTACCATGATGCAGGGTCTTCTCTGACATCTGCAGTAATTGACATGGTTCTAGGAGGGAGGCATAACCAAAAAAAAAAAAAGGGGGAACCCACAAGGGGGAAAAAACTACAAGGGAGAGTCTAGAATAGATACATTGGAAGCTATGATTGTATGAGGAATATAGAGAAAAGAGAGAGGCATGGTAAGTATAGAGGTTATGAATCTGAATGAGGGTCTAGCGTAGACAGAAAGAGAGGATGGATAATTAAGAGAGTGAAAGAAATCCATTTTGGAAAGGGGTACACAAAAAATGGAATTTTAAAAACTGATGAACAAAACTAGTTGAAGGTAAGTTGAAGAGGACAGTAGCATCTATATGACTGAAAGGGGAAAAAAAGGAGGGGAAGAATTACATAACCAGATAAATCACGAGAAAAAAAGGAATTAATAAGCAAAACTCCAAAAGGAAAGAGGAAACAAAGGAGAAGGGGTGTCAGGGAGCAGGAAAGAGAGCCAGTGAGAACAGAGCCACCTTAAAAAGAATAAGATAAAGTAACTGAAGGAAAATAATACTTTGTCTACAGCAGAAAAGGGAAAATCATAACAAAAAAATTAGAGACAGATGGAGGAAAATATAAATTTAATTATCATAATTTCAAATGTGAGTAGATTAAATAATAGAGCAAAAAGTGACAGACTGAATAAGAAAACAAAAACCTACAATCTGCTGTTTACAAGAAACCTATTTTAAAAGCAAAGACTTACACAAAATAAAAGATGGAAAAAATTGACTATTCATCAATTTAATCTAAAAAAGCAAGTGTTAACAATCAAGCTATCTGACAAAGTAAAAACATTCGATAAATAAAATGGGACAAACAAGGAAACTATATTATCCTGAAATAGATAACAAACCAATATCAGCAATAAACTTATACTCTCCAAATGCCTTAGCATCCAAATTCATACAGGAAACATTATCCGAGCTGCACAAAGACACAGACTAATACTGACAGGAGACTTCAAGAGCCCTCTCTCTATTTTGGATAAGTCTAACAGAAATATAAATAAAAGGGAAAATATGGAACCGAACTGCTAGAGAAACGAGACTTAAAAGATTTATAGTGTTTCTAAATGGGATAGCAAAAGAATACAAATACAAACACACACTTTTTATCACATTGAACTTTTACAACTTTTATTTGATTTTAGTACATTGAATCTTGTATTAGAGCATATAGATATTGCAAGCAAATGAAAAAAGGCAGAAATAGTTAATATATCCTTTACAGACGATAACGCAAAAATTCAGTAGTTGGTTCAGGAAACATAAACAAAAAATACAGATCCAAATGGAGAAAAAACAATGAAATACTAAATAATGAGTGAGTCAAATAATAAATCATAGAAACAATTAATAACTATGTAAAAGTAAATGACAATGAAACAACATATCAAAATTTCAGGGATGCAGTTAAAAACAAGGAAGAAAATCATATCCTTAAAAACTTAAATTAACAAAATGAAAAAAGAAAGGACTGATGAACTGAATATACATTTTTAAAAATTAGAAAGCTGACAAGAACAACTTATATAGCTGGAGAAATGATTCAGTGCTCCTGGCAAGGCCTTGTCCATAGACTTAAAAATGATAATATTATCAAAGTTAATTTATAGTTTTAATGCTATACCAATGAAACTACAAAAGGATTATTTTACAGAACCTCATAAAATTATAATAAAATTCATTTTGATAAACAAAAGATCTAGGATATCAAGGGAAATAATGGAAAAAAAATTGAGGAATGAAGGAGGAATAACACTTTCAGATCTTAAGCAGTATTAATATAGCAGCAACTATATAAACTTGTTTGTTATTGGTTAAAAAATATAGAAGTAGATAAATGGAATAGATAAGACAAGGAAAAATTTAAAATAATGGAACTTAATAATCCAGTGTTCAATAAACCTGAAAACATAAATTACTTATGAAAGAATTTCCTATTTGATATAAACTTCAGGGAAGACTTGAAAGTATTCTGGCAAAAACTGGGCTTATACCAACATCTTTAGACCACATTCCACAACAAATACAAAATAGATATGTGTCTTTAATATTAAAGACCATAGCACAAAAAATTAGAAAAAAAGTAGATCATATACTTTTCACAGCTGCGGATAGGTGTACTCTTAATCAAACAAGAGATAAAGGCTCTATGATATATTAGCTGACTGCTCAATTTACCCAAAATACCAATTAGGCTTAAAGTCATATTATCAAATTAATCAATAGGTATAATAAAAAAAATCCACATCTACTTTTAAATATAGTTGCCTAGTTTTGTGGGGTTTTTGGTATTATTTCTTGCATACTCCTTCCTACTGTTTCCACAGGGGGAACAAAGTGATTACCCAATTCACCCATAAGGCTAATGCCATGAACTGAACCATTTGGAGTGAAAGAACCTCCTTCCCCTGCTGTCCCTCTTTCTACTCATCTCTAAGAAATGGATCTTGGCATGTTTGTTCTGTGTCTCTGTCCTCAGTTTCAGGAGTCACACAGTGATCTTTACCAAACCTGCCAAATCCAGGAGTTCAAAGCCATGGCAAACTTGAAGGAAGCAGGATGGCAGACAAGATGCTGCAGCCAGCAGGGAAGCCCTGAGAAGCAAAGATGCCTGAGATTCAAACCCAACAGAGTTTTTGGACTTGGAACTAGAACCGTACTCTACAGGATTTGAGCTAAGCTATGAACCCAATTCCCTTTCCTTCCCCAGCGGCTGAAGGAGTATTCAGAAGGAGGGAGGAAGGGGAAAATTATGCCTCCCACACATTGGGGGAATTAGTTTATATATTTGTGGTTATATCTTAAAAGTAAACACTTCTTTGTAAAAGCTAAAAAAAAAACAACCTAAACACATGGTTGGCCAAAGCATGTTACTTTAAACAATAATTACTGTTACTCTGTTACTCACTCCTCTTCCATGACACTTTTCAGTAGCATTACAACTTCCTTCTGTCAAAAAACGAGACTCTATGCAAGAAAAGTTTGAACACACCTAAAAATTTAAAAAAAAAATTAATGGTAAAGATCTATACAGGCATACCCAACTAATACTGATCCAAACCAGTATCATTTCATAATAACATCATTAGGACATAACCTAGCCCCCAGTACAATCCACAACACCAGTATAAAATTAAAAACTCCCTGCCTAGGTGTCTCTGCCTCCTCTTCCTACTTATGAATCAGACAACTCCTATTTCGTGTTCTCCCACCTTGACCCATCAAGTCAATATCCCTAATTTCTTGAGCTCTTTTTTCTATAAGCTCTCATGGAACACTGAATAAACATTCTGAATTGGACAATGAATGAATTATAGAAATAGTTAAAACATAATTGTAATACAAGCAACATGACACAGTCTGAAGTTGGCTAAAGAAATCAAGTATCCATTACAGTCTGAGGAAAAGTAAAGAGAACTGCAAGCAATTTATCAAAATCTATGTGTGAGTATAGCTGTATACTTTAAAGTTCAGTCACGTAATGCTAATTTTGTCTCATGATCCCGCCCAATGACAATAAGCCATGGACAATTCCTGACTGTCATTAGCACATCTTGTATGGGAAACAGCTACATCCAATAGTAGCTGATAGAAACACTGCTAAACAACAGATCACAATAAACAGTATGAGGGTTCTGACTGTAAGCTCAATACAATGTGATAGTCAAAAAAGCTAATGTGTTCTTAGACTGCAGTAATGGAAGTAAAATATCCATAATGAAAGAGGTCAATATACTCTCTCCTATAATCCGTATTTTGGACCCCTGTGTTCTGTTCTAAAGACTATATTTTAGGGCTGATATTGAAAAGCTGGAACAAGTCTGGAAGAGGATATATAGAATGGTTAGAAAACTTAAAACTAGGTCTTATGAAGACCAACTAAGGGATCTTTAGTGGAGAAAATTTAGGAGAGACTACAATGATCAGAGCCTCAAATATTTGAAGATTGTGTAGTATCAGGTCTAGATTTATTCTACTTGGGTCCAGAAGACAGAACTAAGACCAAAGACTGAAAGTTTCAGGGAGGCATATTTCAACTTAATATAAGGAATGACTTCCAAATAATTAGTTTGTCCAAAAATTAGAATAAGTACCTTAGGATATCATGAATTCTCCAAACACAAGAGGTCTGGCAATTACATTGAATAGCCACTTGTCAAAAATGTGGTGGTTCATGTTTTAGGCAAAAGCTCAACCTCAGAGGTAGACCCTCTGAAGGTCACACCTAAGCTACTGATAAAATGTCAGTACTACTCAATGAAAACCAGGTACCCTTGGTAGAAGTGTTTCTAGCTTAGAATAACATCCCCCCTTAATGGGACACAGTCTCACTTGCGGCAGAATGAATGAAAATCATTCCTTAACTTTATTATGTGCAAGAAACTGGGAACATAAATACAAAAGCAAGACAGACCCTGCCTTCGAGCAGCATATATTCTAAAAGTGGGGGAGAACATATACATAGGAATGGTGACCAGATAAGGGAGTTTTGGTCTGGGAACTGACCTTGGTCAACTTCTTTGATCTTTCTTATTTACAAAATGAAGGAGATGGACTAGGTAGCTTCTGAAAGAACCCTTCTAACTCTAAATCTATGATCTATGAACGTCACAAGGATGGTAAGTTGATCCAAAGAAGTCAACTGATATGTCTTTCTTGAAGCAATTTTAATATTTATTGTCTTGATTACTATGACTAGAGTAAGAAGTGGAAAAGGGATCTATCTCCATGCAGTGTCAAAGTAGATGGCAAAATAGAGTGGAGATTCAAGGTTATAAAAATGTCAAAATAAGGCCAATGCAGGGGTATGGATTCTACTTCCATAACTCTTGGTATTCCCTTAGCAATTCCTGAGTGATGAAAGACAGAAGGGAGA